GATAATTTGAGCCTGGTCATTTATGCCTTGAGTGAGAACTCTGGGTTGATTTGTTCAATGATCCATTGATTGATTGATTGATTGATTGATTGATTGTCTGTCCATGGTATTCTCAGGAGTCTTCCCCAACTCCAAAGTTCAAAAGCATCAATATTCTTCCTATTTTCTTCTTCAAAGTCCACCTTTTGCTTCCATAGAACGTCACAGGGTATATCATGGCTTGCACAGTTCTGATCTTTGTAGGTATAGGGACATCACAGTATTTGAATATTTTTTCCAAGGCCTTCATGGCTGCTCTACCAAGTGCTAGTCTGCAGCAGATTTCTTGGCTGGTTGTTCCTTTACTTTTGATGGTTGATCCTAAAAGACAAAAGCTATCCACCACTTTGATACCTACATTGCCAGTTCTAAGGCTGGTTGCTCTATGTTTTGCCATTAGTTTGGTCGTGAGCTGCACTGGCTTCCAGTTTTTTTCTGAGTGCAATGCAAGGTGCTGGTTATCACCTTTAAAGCCCTTCATGGCACAAGGCCAGGATACTTTAGGGACCACCTCTCCCTGAAGGTATCTGCCTGTTCCACTAGGTTTTATAGGGTGGAAATGCTCCAGGTCACTTCCCTTAAATGTTGCTATCTAGTGTAACAAAGGAGAGAGTGGGTGGGGAGGAAACCAGCAAAGTGGTTGCAAATTCCCAACACAACTATATCATGTGCATAGGATGACTAAAGACAAAGGAGAGAGGGCTCTATAACTTTGATAACAGGTTAAAAGATAAATATTGGTGGTGGCAAATTTTTGTTATTGCTATTGCTGCTGCAAGAGGCCATATTGTTAGAGAATGAGAAAATTCTTCTTCTATAAAAGTATTATATGAAACAAATGCAAGTTTATATCTTGGACTCTTCTCTTTAAACACCCCTCACTGATATGATAATCCTAACAGCATAGTTTTAAAAAGTTATTTCTACAGATCGTGTTGAACTAGGTGGCAATCCCTAATCAACTTTGGCTCATCTCAAAAAAGCTCACCACTTGTGTTAGATGGGAGTAACTTACAGCACGTGTGTAGGTTAGACCAAAAGGTAAAAAGACATTTCTGAAGGTAGCAATGGAGAACTCCTTCCATATTAGTGTAAAGAAAAAAAAAAACTAGATGGGTGCACTTGTGTAGTTATTAGCAGTCAAGCCTGACTTAAGCTTGTGTTGGCTAACACGGCTTTAACTAACTGTTAAGTTCTCGTATAGGATGGTATAGCTAATAATTGTGGTTCTTGATAGAGAAGATATACTAGGAATAGAACTTGACAAGAGTATATATGCTACTGGGATGTTAAGTAGCCTCCCCATAAATGGGATTGTAAATGCATCTTAAGGGGGAAGTTGATGATAGAAGTTGATCCCAGTTATCTTATTATATATTAGATGGATAAGGGAAAGCCACTAATTTTAAACTGCATCTCAGAACAGTTTCTATGTTTAGACTGCTAATTTGTTAATTTAAACTGTAACTGTTTGGGGGTGGTTTGTTTGAAGGAACATTTTCTCATTCCCTCCATTTATTTATTTAAATTATATTTTAACTATAAATTATTTCCACGGCCTCATGCTAGCTGGTATTCTTATCCTCAACAAAGCTGCAATGTAGATGAGACAGACAAACAGTGACTGGCTTATAATGATCCAGGTTACTTCATGACTGAGTGGGTATTCATGCAAAGTAATAGTTCTACTTTTTTTCAAATATTGTGTCCCTTTCTGGATGCTGCATTTTAAGGAGGATCCAGGAAGAAAAAAAACTGGATTCCTTCCTAAGAGATGAATGAGTTTAGAACAGGCTATGAGGATCATCAAGGACCTAGGAAATATGTCTGATAAGAAGAGGATTGAAGGAGCTGGGTATGACTAGCCCTGAGAAAAGATGAGGTGGGGGATATGACAGCACGCTTCAGAAATCTGAAAGGCAATTACACAGAAGAAAGACACAGTCTCTCTTATTCCAGAGGGTGGGACATCGGATAATAGATCTAAGTTACAGGAAGGCAGGTTCCCATCGAATGTTAGGAAAAACTTCCTACCAGGAAGAATCACCTGGTGAGGTGGTGGACGTGCTCAAGTGGAAGCTAGACAGCCATCTCTCTGGGGGGCTTCAATTTGACAGGTTGGATTCAATGGCTTAAACAGCCCCTTTTAACTCTCTGCTTCTATGAATTATCTTTAGCCAACACTGTAATTATACACCATACACCAGCTCTTCTGGCAAATAACAACAGAATAAGCATTTGTGATGAAAAATCCATTCTGGATATACAGTTTATAAGACAGATACCTATGGATGTGGAAAACCTTTGACAACTTTCCCAAAGCCATACGAATGTACAATTTCCCTAACTCACAACTTGGAAAATATTAGTAAGCTGAATGCATTGCTTCTGAGAGGCACATACTTTTGATCACCAGATGCAAATGGTTTACAGTAAGTTCTTGTCTGACTTCCTAGTCTTAAAACAGAAAAACCTCAAATTTACAACTATTCTCCATTTCAGTGCAACTGAACAGTGTGATGTTTAACATATATATGTTATAAAATATATAAGATATATATGTTATAAAAATATAAGAGCCAATTTGGTATAATGGTTAAGGCGGTGGACTAGAAACTGGGCAACCTCAGTTCTAGTCATCCCTTAGGCATGAAAGCCCAGCCAACCTCACAGGGTGGTTGTTGTGGGGAAAACAGGAGGCGGAAGCATTATGTATGCCACCTTCAGTTGTACAAAAGAAAGCTGAAACATAACTCTATAAACAAACAAAACCCTTGACCTGGATTTGGAGACACTGCAGAAACTTTGCTGGAAATCAGAGCAGAGAAGTTGTCACAGTGTGACTAGTTTCTTTCAGAACCGGAGGTGTATTTAGACTTACAAGGATGGCATTTGGCACAGAGAAACCAAGACAATGGCGGCCATAGAAGTATCTTTTTTCATATTCATAAACATCGAAGACTGCATAGAAGCAGAAGGTTTCCGTGTAGCGAGAGCCATACCCAACTTCTGAAAGCTTTTATTAAAGGGATGTTGTTGATCTGGGAGAAAAAACTTGCTAACATGGGGTGGATGAGAGCGGAAGGAATGTGCTGAACTCCTGCAACTGCTTTATCTAGCACAGCACCGCTAGCAGCCTTTCAAGATTTGAGACAGAAGACCTTTCCCACCCGGAGGTCCTAGGGATTCAATCCCCCCCGCCTTGCAGAACATGTCCTCTACTGCTGAAATCTCGTCCTTGAAGAGATCAGTCAGGTATTATAACCCTATCCTAAGATCTGATTTTCTATTTCTTTAAAATCTCTTTTCAAGCTAGCCTGGGAGTACCCACATGACACTGGAACCATAGCAAAAGGAGAATTAGCCATGTTTCCCCCACCCCTCATCCAATCCCTTGGCTCGTGCTACCGTTACCCAGTTCAGAAAACTCTTAGGATATTCTGGCTTGCATCATTTTTCTTGAGTTACTCACGGAAGGAAGGACACCTGAAAACCACTATTTTACCCTCCCATCTTGTGTTGCTGTCCTTGTTTATTATAGGTTTATTATATTTTTTTCTTCTCTTGCGCATTGTTTTCATGGTGCTCCATGGCTGTTGGAATCCTTATAGTGATTTTGGTCTCATGTTTACATTGCTATGTTCTCTGTTATTTCAGTTAAAAAATTTTTTTTTTATAAGCGGCATTCTTTTGCAATAAAGGTAGCTTTAAAAAATCCCCCCTTCTCCAACTCTTAACACAACCCTTGATGACTTTATGGACACATCCATGTAGTTTTCTTAGCTACAAGGTAAGAGAATTACCACTATTTTTTTCCTGAATTTTATTTACTTTTATTTTATTTTCTTTACAGTCTAATGTACAGCTTTAGACTATTAAAATGGTGTCTAGGCTAGTTGAAACACTAAACGGGACACATAACTTCGAATCCATGTAGGTCCGTGATACAAACTTTTAAAAATACTTTTTCTTCCAGAACTCTTTATTGCTGGCTGTGCAAGCTCCAACACATGGACGCAAAGTTACACTTCCCTCTCTCACCCATGCACACGTTCGCCTTAATACGCGTCTCTGAGGCCGCACCTTGTCAATGAAGGAGGCTAACTGGTTGTTGAGCCCCTTGATCTGTTCCTTCTCTTCCGTGCGTATCTGGTGCAGCTTGGGGTCGATCTCCAAACTGGGCAGCGGGGAGAGAAAGAAAGGCGTCGAAGTAGAGAGGGGATAGCTGGAGACATCCCTGAAGGACCCTCGGGTTAAGAATCCCGAATTGGCTCGGTACAATGAGCTTCGATTAGGAAGGGATCCGTGGGAACGGCTGCTATAGTTCATACTCCCAGGGCGATGGTAACTGATGCTCATGGTGCAAAGCACGCTTCGTCTCCGGAGGCCACTGAAGTGAGTAAAAGAGCTTCGCTGCCTCGTCCGAAATAAAAACCTGGGAAGATTCTGAAGGCCCCGCCCCGGCGTGCCCAGGCGTGTTATTGGCTGAGGCGAACGCCCACCGAATCTTCACCCTGACGTGGAACACGAAGGTCTGCTTTCCTATTTACGTTCACCTACCGTGTTCCCGCTACCTCATTAACATAGCCCCACCCAAACAGCCACGCCCGCGGCGCGATACCTGAGCGGCCAGTGTTAATGTCCCGATTTATCCCAGAGGCGAGCAAGAGTCTTTCTGCGTACCGCACCCCCAGCCCTCCAACGCCTATATGAGTTTTGCGCTTCTCTCGTCAGTCTCCGTAGCTTGGTTTTCCGACGGGATATTTTGCGTGGTCTAAATAATTTGCCTGAAGATTTGCTGGGCTACAGTTAAGGCTGACCTAAGACACTTTCCCTCGTCGTGTGACTAAAAGAGATTCAGGCGAATGAAACGCTCCTTCACTGGCTAGTTTCTCTCGGTCCGTGCAGATTACGAGAATTCGCGGGTGCTCTTCAACCAATGAAAAACACAGCGCTTTCCTCATTGGCTGGTCGCCACCTGGGCATGCAAATGAGAACCCCAGGCGATATAACGAGGCGGTAGGCACCAGGGAGCCCCGGTAACACGATGGCTTTCTCGCCTCCTCATCCCCGGAATGGCTCCCTCTCGGCGGGCTCCGTGCGTCTCTTCCCCGGTTCTTCCGCTGCTTCCGTGCGCCGCAACTCCAGCGGTTCCGACGTTCTGTTAACCCGGCTGCGTGGGGCGCTCCCGGCAGCCCGAGCCAGTGTAGCGATGGCTCCTTTGCTGCTGGGCCCGGGCCGGCAGCAGGAGGCGTTGCAGGGGTTGAACGAGCGCCTGTCCGGCTATCTGCAGCAGGTGCGGGGGCTAGAGGCGGCCAATCGAGCCCTGGAGGAGGAGATCGCCGCCGTCCGGTCGAGCAGGGCCGGGGCACTTGGTCCTAAAGACTGGGAAGCCTGCGAGCAGCCCCTGGCCGAGCTGCGCAAGCAGGTGAGGGGAGTCGTAAACAGGGCGGGCGAAGCAGCTCCCCGGAAGAGACGGGCGAAAGACCAGAGCAGACGGCCGCAAAGAAACGAACGGGGCTGCCGCGAGAACGGGGGCACTCGCCGGAGTTTGAGCAAAGGATAATCCCCGCCTTCCTCAACCTGGTGCTCGAGAAGTGCTTTTGTGTTCAGTTCCCCTAATTCCCAGCCTCGTTAGAAATTATGGGAGTCGAAATAGAGGCTGAGGGGTCAAAGCAGAACTCCTGGCAATGGCTCCGTTGCGTCTGGGTCATGAGGCCAGGTGGGAGGGAGAGGAGGCAAGCAGGCTAACTGGTCATAAGTATTCATTTTACTGTATTATCTTTTTACTTTAGCCATTCTTTTCTTCTTTCCAAGCAAATAGGCTGGCTATTAGGGCAACAGAAGCATATCCCATTTTATTCCTGTAGTGATACTAATACTATGATTTAAGTGTGTGCGTATGAATGAAGCAGCGCACAATAGATTTTAAATAGGTAGGAACATTAAGTATGTACACTGCCTTGAGTTGACAAAAATAAAGGCAGGATAAATTAAAAATGAATAATAATTTTTGTTCTAGTTGTTTTGGCGAAGATTTCCCGCCCCCCTGTGGTACAAACCAATTGTAGAAGCAATTATAAAGCACAGGATGAGGAAAAGAAAGCAGCCAGATGCTCCTGGCATGACTAGCATAGTACATGTGGCCATTTAAAGCTCCTCCCGATATGACCATTTAAACTCTGGCTCTAACATTACTTTACCACCTCAAAGCAGCAAACAAAATCCTGTCACTTTATTCCTCACAGATTTTTTCATCCAACCCAGACTGTGATGTATCACAAGTAGTTTATAAAGCCAAATAAAACTATACTGACCTACTTGTCATTAGATGCGTTCTTGGAGCTCTCCCTGTTGAATTTCACAGATTTATTATCTATCATATCCCATAGCAAACATCAAATAGACTCTTAGTGGCTCACAACATAGAACAAAACAATACCTAATAAAAATGAAAAGTACATAAATGTACAAATTATCAGGTAAGTTATATTTTAAATGCTGAAAGAAATAGTGTATCAGTAGTCATCTGTCAAATCCAGATGAGTCAGACAAACAAGCTGGGCATAAAGGAACATAAATGATTGCATATGAGTGAAAATAATAAAATGTGGATGAAAAGGAGCCAGGGTTGGGTGAGTGAGCCAGGAGATGCATTATAAGATTTTGAATTAATCTTGAATTAATCAGGAAGATAAGAGTAGGAGAAGCAGGAAGAAGGCAAAGTGTAACCTTACTCTCATGTATTTCTGTACCTTGAAAATGCCAAACAGCTTGTTCAACCTGGTACTGTCCAGATGTGCTGGATTCTCAGCTCAGGCCATGCTGGTTGGAGAAGGCGGCTTTAGAGCATTCAGAGTCCTTTATGTACACTTATAACCTCAAAACAGGTCTGAGAAGTAGATTAAACTGCTAAACTTCATTGTTAGAAAGAGGCAATTAATAGAAAAAGTTATAGAGGAATTACATGGTGATAAGTATATTCCAAATTTATATGGAAGAGGGAAAAGATACACTGCATGGGAAGCAAACTTCTTGTTTCCCAAATCTTGGGAAATGGGCTGCAGAGCCACAATTGAAAGATTTAAGTTGGATGCACACTTTTTTTTAAAAAAGTAGAACATCTCTAAGGAAGACTTGACTTGATCAGGTTAAATATACAAGCAGTAACTATGTGGGGGATGAAAGAAGCACGTGCATGATGAGATTCTTTAATAGATATTTGCCCATCTCAATGATGCACGTTTGTAGCAATGGGAATTTGTTGGTGCAAGGTATGGCAGAATGTAGCATAAATTGGGGGACTATCACATGAGGTTTTGCCACTTCGAAAGTGATACTGAACCTTTGCAATCCTGTGATATCAGCTGTGTTTGAGGGCTGACCTATTGTATTTTTGGATCAGCTGTGTTGAATTTGCAATCAAAGTAAAACCAATCTTTGTCTTGTTTTATTGTTGAGGCTGTATCAAACTATTGGGTGATCTGTTTCTATACTTGCAAGAATTACTACATCATCATATCTCCTGATGTTGGGCTGCAAGTCTTTTGAAGAGATGGATAGCTTGATGTATTTTTTAGCTCCCATTCACAGAAACAGCTGGGATGTTTTCTTTTTGCAAATGACTAGACAAATGCACAGAATAGGAAGGTCATAGGCAGGTGGGCTGGGAGTTGGATTAAGGGGAGTTTTGTTACCGCAGGACCTGCTGCAGCTTGGGGCAAGGTGGTGTTATTTGTTCCTTGGTTGTCTTGAGATTGACAGGTTGGATTGCAGGTAGTCTTGAAATTGCTTTGGAAAAAGGGGATTGGAGTGGTATTTGTATGAAACTGCCCTTAGTTGTGGCTATGTCCTGTTGCAATCAGTTGACAAAGCATTCATGCAAGGTATCACATCCCTGCTTCCAACCGGATTTTGCTTTATACTAATATTTACTTGAATAAGCTCCAAACAAGGAAGAGAATTAAAATAGGAGGGCAGCCCAAGTACAGGGTGGATTTTATAACCACAGTATTTTCAGTAAAACTAGATTCCTGGTCAACAAAATTAAATGGATGGAATTTGCTCAATACATTTAAGAGATAGATTCTTTTAATGATTCTTCCACCCTTGAGCAGTTGCTGCAGAACATTAGCTCTTGGGCAGTGAATTAAGGACAGTATTACATTCCTTTTGCCATGTGTCCCACTTTCAAAAATAACTTCTAGGCTTTGAAATGCTCTAGTTTGGGATAAAATTGCTCCCTTTTTTTCCCCTCATATCACAGAAGCTATGGTGGTGTAGTTGTTTTAGTTTTGCTATCCAGGTTTGAGTTGTGGAATGGTGTAGCTCAGGAAGCTAAGTGGGTTTCAATTCGGCTTAGATGCCCCCACGTAACAATCTGAGCTTTCTCGGGGCCCAGGTAGGATATTCAAGGAACAATGAATGGGATCATTGAGGGGTTCTTTCCTTTTTTCTTTTTAATACTTTCAGACACATTCTTCAGGAGATGGAAAACGATTACTAGAACCCTTATTACACATGGTTTATTTGCTTTTAGGGCTAGGTTTTGTGGTTTGTTTAGTTTTGGCTTAACTTATTATAGAAGCCCATGCAGTGTGGTTTGTAAACTGCACTTCATGGAGCAATGTACTGTGTAAATTTGTGATTTATTCAAAAGCAATCTGCCGCCTGCCAATCCATTCTTAGATTTTAATTTCAAGAGATATTGAAATTAGAATAGATTCTCAGTAAGAATTCAATTTATTATAGTTTATAATCTCAGTCAGTGATTTATACTGTATTAACCATGGCTCCTGATATTTATTCTTAGCTCAAAGCTTAACAGTGATTCTTAGTCTTTTAAAGTGATATAATATATCAAATTATTCATAATTCATTAATGACATATTAGGAAACTGTAACCTCCATGATATTTTTAGATCCCTTGTGTGCTCATTTGTATTTTACTCTCTTACTCTTTTTACTAGTCATATATTTCTGTTTGCTTATACTTTTTCTTGAAAATGTCTATATAAATAAATACATGAAACTTTTCTCTCACAACCACACTTTCATGCAGATTGTTCACTTTTACAACAAGGATGATGTTTCAAGCTTGGGTGCCTAGAACAGCAGGTTTGATTTAATACCCTGTGAAACATGATCCAATTGAGATGCAATCAGCCTGTAGGGTAAAGTTGATTAATGTGAGAGAACAAGAATGCTAATTTGAATGCTTGAGTCATTGATATTCTTATTATCAGTTAAGTTACTTATCAACCAAATGGCATCTCATAAGTGACTCACTCTGGTCAATACAACAGTCATTCATTCCTAGATTTTAATAACCCAAGACAAAGGACCCATTATCCATGCAGATCAAAACAAAGATATTAGTTTGTTTCGCAAATTTCAGATTAATTGGACAGGAACCCATTGTTTGTTTCCAAGATCTGGCTAGTTTCAGCAGGAGTTAAGAAAATGAGATTGACCTGAAGGACGGCATAATATGTCATGGCAAAACCACAATAGTCAATTAAATCAACCTTATAGCTTGGACCACCTAGCTCCATGTTGTTGGCACTTGATTGGCAAGGGCTTTCTAAGGCTTTTCTGTTCTTATCTGAGGATCCATGGATTGAACTTGAGACCTTTGACATTCAATGAATGTTACACTCTTCTCTGGATATAAGAAAAAAATGTTTGAGAAATTGCAAGGCATGTTTCAGTGCAGCAGTACTCTGAATACAATAGGATTTGTTTGCTGCATATTACATGAAGGCAGCAATATACTTTACTGTCTAAAGGGAACTGTTCAGAAGACTTTCTGAAACAAGTGAAACAATACATAAGCTTCCCACCACCACCCGCACAAAAACCATTTGGTTCAGGGGCTTAATGACCTAAGAAATGCACCACTGACTTGAAGACATGTGTGTGGCTTCTGATGGAGGAAGAATGCTTAACTACATGTACTTTAGATCAGATCCTGGTCCTTAATTATGAATTGTGTATGTACTTTATTCAAGCTATACCTTGCTATTTTATTTGAGTTCCACACATCACAGCTGTAAGTAAAGCAAAGTTTATGTGGGCTCACAATTCATACGTATGAAGGATCAGGCTTAATCCAACCTTTTAAGGAAGGAACGGCTGTTACCAGCTGTTTGATTCTGACAGATCTAAAACATAAGGAGATGGTAAATTTGGCCTGAGTGCTCTTTATCTGAGGCTAAATCTCAGTGAACGCAGCGGGACTTGTTTTTGAATAGGTTGTAGTATGCTGTCATCTTTAAGAGTTCTTTTTCTATGACAGGTTGAAGAGCTCAATATGGAGAATGTCAGGCTGCTTCTGCAAATTGATAATGCCAGGCTGGCAATGGATGACTTTAAGCACAAGTAAGCAATAATGTTCTAGTACCGTACACTGTCAGTTAGTTATGTGTCACACATGGCTGCCTGTATATTCATCATGGCTTCCTTTTATAATCTCTTACTCCTAACTATATCTGATTTTCCCATGCCAAAATTCTGATCTGTGCAGTTCAGGAATAAACATGTATTTTTGCTTTGGATACAGATTAGAATCAGCTCTGGATTAATGTTTAAATCAAGGTTAGGCTACCTCTTGGAGGCCAAGGGCTGTATTTATTAGTTGGGAGGAAGTCTTTCATATTTTAAATTGCAGGAAGCTGTGCAGTCAGTTTTTAGCCATCATGGTCAAAGGGGGCTCTGAGGGCTGCAAAAAGGGAATCTGGTGGCCTCATGCAGACTTCGGGCTGCAAGCTGGTCAACTTCTGCTGAAGTTCTCAAATGCCTACCCTGGCTAAAAAGGTTTCAAGATGGAGATCTTTGAAAGCATGCCATTCTCCATCTGGATTTTGAAAGGGAACAGCTGATTCAGTGAATTGTAGGGTGCTGGTCTTGTCCCCCAAATAAACAGTTTATTCAGTATCTTGAGAAGTTGCAGTTCCATTAGCTAGAATGTATAAATAGCTGCCGACTTGGGAGGAAAAAAACCCGATACTGTATAGCTTGTAAATATACTTGAATGAAATATACTTTAACATAACTTATGTTAAAAAAAGGCATGCATCCGGATTCGGGTGCCCTTTACACTTCATTAACAAAGCGTGAATCAGCTTATTTAGTGCACAGTTTTGCTTAACTATAAAACATCTTGTGGCACTATAAAGGCTGGCAAATGTATTATACAAGCTTTTGTGGATCACTTCATAAGATGTCCTGTATCTTGTTTGGATTTCTGGCCTCCTTTTCTAGGCTGGAAGCAGAACAGGCTGCATGTGACAGTGTCCAGAAGGACACCCAAGGATTGCGCAAAATCATAGATGACACCAACTTCCTACGTTTGAAGCTGGATGGGGACCTGGAATCCCTCAGAGAGGAGCTGGCTCACTTGCGCAAAAGCCATAAGGAAGTAAGGCTCATCTTTGCACTTCCATAGTTTCAAAAAACAGCTGCCTGTCTCAGGTCTGCTGAAGTTTACCAGCACTGAATTAAGGTTGGATTCTGTTCTTTTTCTCATGCAAGTCTTTCCAGGTTAGCCTGAAATTAAGAACACGAAAGGAAAGTAGAAGTTTTTCACTTGAGTAATATGGCTTTTAATCATATAAACTAAAATATGACGATTCCGCAAAGTGTTTTATATTATCGTATGCATGTTAATTCTGTGATAGCAGCACTATTCTTTGAGCATGTTTTTGGCTTTTCTTTGTCACAATGATTCCCACTGTGTATTTGCCTGTAAATGTTGACAGGCATTAAGAGGTTTGGAACTGGAATTTTGAATGGGGAGAATCCAAATTAACATCATCCAAATGTTGAGAGGAGCCAATTACCCATTGCCCCCTCAAAAGGAAATGTACTGTATCTACATGTAAAAATGCAGATCTATATGTACAGATGCACATTAATAAATTAATACTGTAAATTAATTACATTTATATCCTGCTACAATCACAAATGGACTCTTAGCAGCTAACAAAATGAAATAACATCCATAATAAAATATATACAGTCCAGTAATGAATATCTTACTGTAGTGGATCTGTACAATCTTGATGCCCAGCTGTTAATTGTTGAAGAGCAATTTCAAGACTCTGGATTGTTTCTGATGGTTCCTTTTTGGAGAAAGGAACCTTCCTAGACTGGACTTGGATAATTCTTCAAACAGAGAATATTTTTAAATAAAAAACTTCCCTCTTTAAATTTAGACATAAATTCACTGTACTGCCCGGTTGTTGGATTGCCTCCTTAATCTCTCTCATTAATAATCAACAGTGCAATCCAATTCATACCTATATTAATTAAGCTTGTTTGTTGAGTTCATAGTGTTATTGCAGCCCTGCTTCATAAATTTCTTATTTACAGGATTTCTAAGGTAGATAGGAAAGGAACTGAAAAAACACAGCCTGCTCTATAATCACTATCTTCATGTTCTGGGTTCTTTCTTTTTTTGTCTGTATTAAACTTTTTTTTTCTTTAATTTCTCCCCTGTACTCATGTGAGAGCTGACAGCTTGCTTTCTTAAATAAAAATGATTGCACTCTGGCTGTTGTAAAAGGCTCCTGATAGCTTCTCCTACTGCATGAGTCTGGTGGCAAAATAAATTTGTCCACACTAAGACTTCTCTAATCTTGATGTCAACCAGGTGTATAGTATTTAGCTCTTATAATTTCCCCAACAGCATGACTATTGCTAAGAAATCTGGGACTTAAAGTCCATACTTCCAGAAGGCACCAAGGATGCTTACATAGAAATATTTGATCATTACTTTTGTCTGAGAGAAAAAAAAGTTGGGGGGCGCTTTAGGTCCCACCCTCCAATCCAGCTAGTACATTCATATTGACACAAAATAGCAGAGTACCACATGCTTAGCTAGAGCCTAAAACCTAGTCTTCCATCAGCACACCTGACACCTTTTAAAAATGTCAGTTTTTTCCTGTCTAAGCAGAATTCGAGAACAGAAGAAAGGGAGGCAATTGTAAGCATAGAAGAACTTGCATTTATTTCAATTGCATATACACAGGCTTGGTTCCAGTAGGGAATAGGAATGAGGGGATGATGCTGGTGGTTGCTTATTCCCTTCTTTCCATTGCAGGAAGTGGAGACTCTCGCAGCTCTGGTGGCCAACTCTGATGTAACAGTTCAAGTAGACAACCCACAGAAGCATGACCTGAGTAAGACCATTGCTGAGATACGCAACCAGTATGAGCAAGTGGCTGAGCAGAATCGTGCTGATACAGAGAACTGGTACAGAACCAAGGTGAGGACTGGTGGAAAGTGGGTAAAAGAAAGCCTGGATTTTTTAATCACCCACCTACCCCCTTACTGCTGTCCCTTGCTTTTGCAGTTTGACTGCATGTCCCAGGAAGCTAACGTGAACACTCAAGCCCTAGAGCAGGCCAGGAACGAATTGTCAGAGCTTCGTCGGCAGTTGCAAGGCCTGGAGATTGAACGTCAGACTCTCCAGAAAATGGTAGGAAGGAATTGCTCTCCTCCCCTTTCAATCTCTGTAACAGTTCTTGGTCCTGTGTGGCAAAACATTTTTCCTTCCAGAATGATAAATAAATTAATGAGCATTAGAACACTCTGCAAGTGGTTGAGTCTTGTTTATGCAATCCTGTACCCATATAGCTGAGAGAAATCTTGAGAAAATCAACAGCGCTTACCTTATTTTCAGACTGTGCATGAAGCATCGTCATTCTGGAGAGGAGTCCACCCAGACTCCTTGTGCCCTTAACTCACTGCATACTTGTGTCATTTTTGACTATCATCTGTTTTGCACCAAATTATTTCTGGCTCAGCTGTGGCATATTTGAAACTACATTTTAAAAAAATATATCTTTCAAATGATGTAAATCTGTGGAGCATATGGGTATTCTATTTCCATATTTGCAGGAAATCATGCCTCATTACACCTGGGTCATGCCTTCAGTTGTCCTTTCAAGGGAAATGCAGCTTCAACCCTCCATAGAAAAGTTGGGGGGTGAGGAGGGGGGAGTTGCATACAACCAGACATATGCCCACAAGTTAAAGGAAAGACATGGGCTTGCATGTGTGCACTTGCAAACAATTTGTTTCCCTTTTGCCTGGAGTGACAGGGAGGAAATACTTGTTCATCTGGGATCTATTTCCAGGGATGGGTCAATGGTTAAATGATATTCTTTGATATTCTTTATTCTTTGTCTTTAATATTTTGAGATTGACAGATATCTTCAAATTGCTCTTGGGAGATCATGGACTGAAAACAGTGGTGGGTGGAACCTCCTGAGATTCAAAAAGGGAGGCATGGCAGGTTTTCTCTGTCTCTCTTCCACTCCAATACCAGGAGTGTAAAAAGCAGAGGACTGCCCCTCTCCTAAGCTGGGTGCAGCAGTTGCCTCAGGTGGCAGATGATGGGAAGGTGGCAGTGAGGTGTTGGAGAACAGAGCTGTGTATACCACAAGAACTGTCCTACTCCCTTAGCTGCCCTGCGTCTTTTAGCACAACTGGAGGAAGAGATTGTTCTTTGGTCAGGATTGATGTAAGGTTCAACAGCAAGCCCAAGATGCCATTTTAGAGGCTTAGATCTTTGCAAATGCTTTTTTAAAATACACACAATGCTTTTAAAAAACACTCAGCTCCAACATTTGGTCTGAAATATTGTGAATATTGTAACATCTCCTGCTGGCTGCTGTTTGTTGACCAGGCATTCTTAACCTTTTTGTGCCATGGAGCCCTTTAAGAGTCTGGTGAAACGTATAGACTCTTCAGAAAAATGAAATACATAAATATAGATTATATTACAAAGGAAAGCAATTATGCTTAAATATAGTTATCAAAATATTAAAAAATAACAAATATGCAATATAGTAATGTACATTCTTCTTCATGAATCTATCCATGTTATTGATCAATAACAACACAAGCTAAATTTCAGAGGTTAGTGAAAATAAAGTTATATTTTTTTCCCTATCCAAGTTTGTGGACTCTCTGAAATCTATCTGTGGACCCTCAGTTACGAATCCCTGCTGTAGGCCAAAGTTTTTTTCTATAGTGAAAATATAAATGCAAAATCTGTTCCTCTCTGTCCTGCAAAGCACATAACATTTTGCTCTTATGCATAGTTCTGGAAAGAGGAGGTGGGTAGTCAACCTGTTTTGTGCCCAAAGGCCTGTAGGCAAGCAGGTTCATTTCATGCAAATGCAGGGTCAGGATTTTCTGATTTTTCATGGCTTTTGGAGATGGGGGAGATTGTTTTAATTTCCACTATGCTATATACTTAATTTAAGTCCTATGTACAATCTGTATGTTATTTCCTGTCTCTGCAATGGCAGGAATCACGTTGCCAATGTTTGGTAATTGGGGATTGGGGGTGGGGACCTGTAGAAGTTGCATGGGATCCTGAGGCCTTGAGTTTTTCAGCCCTAGATTAACACAAGGTACTCTGTGATACAGGTGGATGCTCTGGAGAACACGCTGAAAAACACAGAAGATCACTATCTCAGTGGCCTGGCTGATCTGAACCAAGTTATTGCTAGTCTGCAAGAGGACCTGGTGGCCTGTCGGGCTTATCTAGAGACACAGTCCAGAGACTATGAAACGCTTCTGGACCTCAAGACAAAGCTAGAGAATGAGATTGAACACTATCGTGCTTTGCTCGAGGATGTAACAGACAGGTGACCAAGGGCTGGTTTCTCTTTTCTCTACTCATCTTTCTTGGGCCCAAGCCTGTTTTGGAGGAATTAAGTGTCCTGCTTATTCTGCTAGATACACAGAAAGTTGCAGCCAAAAGTGCAGCCAATTTTGGCTCACTGATCTTTCCTGTCTTTAGAACTGTTTATTTTATAATGTTAACCATTTGAAAAGACAAACGGAGTAACTTCATAACATAGTTAACAACAGTTGGTTACAAAATAAGCCCTTGGAACCTTTTCTCTGTCTTGAGGCAGCAGTTATGATCAAAGACACTTCATAGACAACATAAATGTCATCACCTTTCAGAAAAAAACTAACAAATATACCTCTGAAACAAAACAAAACTTTAATATAAATTTGTATGTAAATTTGGTCCTGCGTTATAATATATTTGCTTAATCAAAGGGAAAACCAAAAATATTTGGTTATCCAAATGCAGGCTATGTGTAATTCTCCATTTACAAATAACAACAGGGCAGAAAGTACTTTCAGGGTAGGCATTTCAAAAATCAGAAAATTCTAATCACTGAAGAAACATCACAAAAATTAGTAAAGTAATTATGGGACAAGTTTTTGTGGACTTCAGTCCACTTCATCTGCCATAAATAATTTGATGTTAGGTGTGACATCTCTTTTGTTGCTTTTGATGCAGCAAATTAAGGCAGCTACCTCTGTGGGAAAAGGTAATTAATTTAAACTTCACTGTTTCCCCACTCAGGTGTAAGTCAATTTTTTTAGGACTCAAGCCACAATTTTTCATATGTCTAGTTGCGGCCAGTATATGATTGAAATATTGCTCTCTAACTTAACTATTCTCTGAATGGGATCAGATGACTCATTTTATTATGAAGAGGAGAAAACCATTGATTAAGCAACTGGTTTGTAGAATACATATTCAGATACAGAGAAGGATCATGTGTATTTTAGAATGGCACAGATAAAAATAATCTTAACAAAAGGCTGTTTTTTTCCAACTTGTAGAAGTGAAGCTGCTGTCTAGTGAATTTTATCCTGTGATTGTTTTAAAAACTGATGCAGCTCTTGCAGGATTTAATTGTGGCTACTTTGTGAAGTCAGGAATGAATGGCCTTCCCAATCATTCTGAATTCCTTAAACAGCACCCAGAAAACATCCTGTCTTCACAAAGGTAGCAGGTGGGAACTGTATTTGTAGAAGCTGATCCCATGGGTGCTGTGACACAGGAATAAACAAATATGCAGCAGGAAGCACACTGGGTAAGCAAATGGTTTGATGACAAAGCACACAACACTTGCCATGTTTTGTATTTGCAGAGGGGATGTGTTGAACTCAGGAAAAGCAGGTAAGTAGCAGTAGAAACATTAGCACACAGAGCTATTTGCTTCTGGCATCGGCTATTTGTCAGTCTCACAGTTCATTCTCCTGAGCTTCATTTGAAAATGGCAGGGGTTAACGATTGCCCCGACTGAGTCAGTTAAAGTCCATAGGGATTGTATACATTTGTTCTTGCCAAACACCAGCAGTACTACTTTTAGGAAGTATGCATACACTTACAAAATCAATGAAGCCAATGCATTTGATAGTAGCTTCCCTCTGAGAAGCAAGAGATGCAGTTTCCCTCCATATAAATATAGAAAGATTAACAAAACACTCGACCTTTTTTTTTAATGTGAATTTCAAAATCACATTAACCTAAAACTTATTCTTTTAGGTACCTGAGACAACAAACACAGAATTTCCTATTGGTTATTCATTCAGTTAGCAAATCTAGCTTTAAAGCATCTACATCATATAGTTTAAATCCCAGGCCTATACTTTGCAGATGTTCATTCTTGTCTGTACTTTTATCTGCTCCTTATGACCATTCCAATCACCTTGCCCATGTTCTTCAACAAATCCTAATGGGAATAGACATGGATGCATACAGGTTTTAGAGAAACCTAAGATTACAAATGAAAGGGGAAGATCGGCCCAAGAGCAATTTGTTATCCCTTTCCCATGCATGCTGTTCTTCCAGCATCCATGCAAAAAGCATTAATACTCCTAGGTCTGCTAAACCCTTGGGAGGTGACTCTTGCTGCTGCTGCTGCTGCTATAACCGCTGACTTGTAAAGATACTGTATCTAATTTAGTCCTAGTTCAAATGTGGTCTGTTTCTAACCAATTAATATCTTTCCATTTTCTGCAGAAATCAGGAGCCAGACCATTAAAAAGATGGTGGTCATTACACACAAAATTGTGAATGGGCAAGATGTGACACAGAGATCTGAAGAAATAACTCAGTAGGATTTCCTAATACTTTACCCATCCATCAACAATCTCTTCTTCTGTTGACTAAAGTAACAATGAGCAACTTTACATCATGTTGTGATATTTGCCAACTTGGTCATGTTGAGTTTTTAAAAAATCAGTTATTACTTATAATAGAGATTGAAGCTTACTTAAGATAGTCACATTGCTACTGATCTTTTCTTTTTAACCAAACATTGCTACTGATCGTGTGCTGTTATCTGTCTTCCTCTCTTCACAATCTTCTGAAAATTTGGGCATAATTCCTATATATTTGAAAGGGGTGGGACACATATATTCCCCAAAGAGACGAAGAAATGGCAGGGGCTTCAATGTTTTTCTTCAGAGTTGTACTGATGATTTCCTTCTATGCTGGAAATACAACAAAAATCTGGGTAAAAATAAAAGGTAGCATTTCATTCCTTTCCTAATGTTTTAAGTGCTTGAGCTTCATCTGTATGGAGGCTTTGGTTCAAACTCATCAGATTTCTTCTCCTTTACAACTTGAGTTTTTAATGCATTGAGGGAATGCATTAAAAGCTCTTGGTAATATTTTTATCTCCTATAAACTTTTTCTGATTCTGTTAAGCATCAACATAATGAATATCCATAAATCATGCTGGATAAGATAGAAAGATCTCCTTTATTAATGAACCCAACAATATTTCTTCAGATACAGGAATTGTGAACTCAAAATACTTGGAAGAAAAACAAGTTAATATTGCATTATTACCATAAGAAATACTGCAACTCATAACCGGTAAACATATTGCAAAGCAAAACAGCTTGAAAAAGGGGAGCAGGGAGGGGAGAAGAAAAGAAAGAAAAATTAATCAAAACGGAATTAAAGGATGTTTTCATTTTTTTTTTTAATTAAGTCCTTGCAAGCACAGCTCGATGCCACAGATCACTTTCCAAACTTGTGTAGAAAACATAACCCGATTGGATTTACTTCCTTAAGAGCCCAGAGAGGTGCAATGTTAAAAAGCTACGATTATCAGGTAGCAAGTGCTCCAGCCTTCTACCGCAGTTGTCTGATTTCACCTTGCCTCAGGCTTTAACGGGACGCAAAGGTCTTCCCCCTGGCAAGAATTCAGAGTGCGGAGGTGAGGATGGTTCTAGCATATCTTTAACCATGTAACCATACCTTATGATTTTTGGATTTCCAAGACTTACTCATGTCCCATTCCTTTTACCCAGCAACACTCATACAAAAAATCCTAATCTTACATTTCAGACTTAAGTACACATAATTGATTTTTTTCCCACTAACATCAGATTTCTAGTTTATTTCCCTTCCTTTCCCAAGTGATTACTTTCCCAGGAAATTTCAGCCAGTCTAATCATATATATATTCTCTTCTATTGAAACTCTCCAACCTCAGAAGCACAGCCTTCCTCATGCTAAATCAGTCTAC